TGCTCCAGACCTGTACTTTTCTCTACAGGCAAACTTTGGACAAACTCCCCTAAAACTGTCCTTATTAGAGCCTAAAACACCTATGTGACTTCGCTTTCCACACACAATACCATAAATTACAACTATTATGAATGATTATTTACCTCTCTTTGCCTGTCTGTTGAATGTCAGTGTCTTTAGAAAGTTCACTCTGAGAGTTTGGTGGATGCAATTAAATAAAATGTGACTCAAACATTTAAATGTCAGTTGCTGGCAAATGGCTTTGGAAAGAGATGTGTTACTGGGAAGTTACTGAACTTTCTACCCAGCCCCAGCGATGGTGTCGCTGTACTCAGCCGCTTCCAAGAGAGACAAGTCGATCTCTGTGGTTCAATTTCCAATTTTCCTGTTTGAGCCCATCTAGGTTCAATCTCATGACCCTGCCTCCTTTGTGATGGGCCCATACATCCTATTCCAGATATAATACTAAATGCCATTTGACTCATTTCAAAATAATTCTCAACCCAGTTAGAGCGCGGTTGGCTCTGAAGCACTGTGATCGCTCAGTGTCATCTTGATTACCAGGCACGGTTAAAATTTTAAATAGAAGAAAACATTAAGAAGATGTTCGATTAACATCTGAGGTTTCCTGCGGAATTTAAACGATGAGGAATATTAGATTGTGTGCGGCACATTTCAAAAAGATCGAACGAAAACCATTAAAACAGTCAACATTATAAATGTATGGTCGCTTTTCATGGAGCACCACAGTCTCCATATTTTATCACAAACCACACAGCATCTGTCTCAGTTCCAGGTCTTGGCTCTGCAAACAGCCGAGTGCAGGGAGCAAGAGGCGGGAGAACTTGCAGCTTTTATTTGCTCTGGCTTTCGCTTAAGGTGCTGAAACACCACTTAATCTACCAGTCCACAAGGGTCCAAGGTCACGGCGCCCTAGGACAACCTGAATAGCAGAATGCTGCTGAAATCCCCCAGCAGTCTTGAATGCACACATACACACAGAAACACACATACCACAGCTCCTCCACTGAGTAATTTCCCCTGCTGCACACGTTGTACTTTTATATTACACAATATTACTAGAAGGCTGCCCGTCAACCTAATGCATTAGCTCTCTCGCTGACCTCCACGGATGATGCAAATCTGTTGGCCACAACTTCACGTGTGCTTTTAAAATATAACAAGCTTATTACTGTGCTGGCTTTTATGACAGACAACTAAATTGCGCTCATTATAGTTTCTTTCATAGCACCACACAACGGGCTTTTGCACACAATGGCTCAGTATCACACTTTTACATTTCGTCACTAGTTCACAATTACATTATGGTTCTGCCATGAATACATGTATAATCAGGCACTGTAATGAAAAAGGCAGATTAACACAAAAATAAAACCATAAGTTATAACGCAGGAAGCCTCAGGCCTTATTCTTCTTTCTTAAAATAGTTTTGTTTTGGAATATTTGCTGATCACTATTTAGTCTCAATCCCCTCTGGCTAAACAGGCTTTTTTATATATTCACTTGATTACTGAGCAGTAGAATGTGATCAATTCTGAGATACACTGAGGTTTGCATGCTGTTTCAAAGTGGTATTAAGATTACATGTCAAGACTAAGTGTACAGCATTTTGGTGTTTTTGAGAAACTAGTGTGACATTTTAACAAATACGCTGGTGAAATTGCTCTCTTGCAAAGAGTTCGCTGCCAAGACTGAAGCCACTCACATGTCTTTAAGCTACTGCCAGTATGACCAATAACCTTTTAGCTTAGTGTGAAGGCTGCAAAATGGTTACTTCTTGCACTGTGGGTGCCAGTAGATAATAGCATGACTAGCAAGTCTGAACTTCATGCTTTTGCATAAACAGCAAGACATATGCATCATCAACTCTGCCTCTAATTCAAAGTGAGATTAAGAAATTTGTCTGTAACTCATTGTCACTGTTCCCTCTTCAGAAGCAGTTTCTTTTTACAGAGCCTGCGTGGAAGTCAGGGTTTCTGCATGCAGTACACACAAACACACATAGATCCTGCTCTTAATGAGTACAGTGGCATGCATTAAATGTTTAAACCTGGAGTTTCACTGGAGTTCACGCTGATCCTTTACCAACAAAATTACTTTAAGTGACTTATGTGTTATACAGACCATGTCTCAAATGGCTGCAATTGGGGAGCTGGGGAACCTAATGAGGTTTTGCATTTACGTGACAGCTAAGTAGGTGAAGTTAGCTTATCAGCCATGTTGGATGTATGAGAATGTAAGGCCAAGTAAATTAGGTCCAAGTCAGACAGGCCTCGAGACTGGACTGGGCCCATCTACCAACCACCCGTTGCAAGAAAAATACGCATGCTCCCAAACTGGTTGGCAAGTGGTTGCTGGAGGTTGATGGCAGTCAACGTGAAAGAAAAATGTGTTGCCATTAATCTCCTTGTGGTTTCTTTGGTCACATACCTACTTGACTTTGCAAATGCTTTCCATTTCCTCTTTGCATCACACTTTTTCAATTTTTAGTACTTTGAGTGTTTGTTTTTAATGCTAATTTGACCCAGTCTCACCAATCCCAAAAAGGTTTTTGGTGCAGCCCTCTCTTTTCAACTGATTGTGCTTAGTGATAGCCAGGAGCATCCAGTAACAGCTCATGTGGAATACACAGTTCTTCCTCATAACTGGTAGTTGTATCACATCCAATATGGCGGACAACTCTCGTGCAAGGTATGAGTGATGTCATGTGAGGAACCTCTATATGTGTCAGGTGTTCTAATTCAGTCAGGTGGCTCGCTTGTGAGTCACACAGGCAGCTTGCCATGGCCTGGTAAGCTTCCATTATAAATCCTGCAAAAGTGCCAAGCAATCTTGTAATTAAAAATGTGTCTGAGTGACTGTAAGTAATTGAGTCGGAAGCTACTGTACATATACCTCCAAAATATCTGTCAAATCCCAACGTAACTTTGATTTCTTTGCAAAAAACAAGTTACAGCACAGTTTGAAGAGGGGAAAAAGAATGCTGTACAAGTTCTGTGACACAATACACTGAGTATGAAGAATCTGGGTGTAACGTGTTTGACAACTAAATTGTGAGTCGAACGTTAAGTGCATCAAAGACTATTATATTTGGATCTCTAATGTCTGCTAAATCTCTTATATAAATATAAAAATTTAATACATAGCACCTTCAGACTTCAAGTACCTCAAAATCTATGATAGGACATTAGATACTGGAGATTCCAGTCATTGGTTATTCATTCACTGGCTGCTGTATTAACCGAATTAGTCATCAAGAGCTCTGAAAGGACAGTAGCAGAATGTGAAGGAGAGGCACAATTTTTTCTTTATCTGGCAGCTGCTAAAATGACTGAGGAAAGAGAGTGAGAGGAGATGATTCATGTCAGCTTTGTTGCCACATCTTTTTTTCTTTTGCTTCCATTCATGAGAGGAGGGCTGTGTAAATTAGCATGGTTAGCAGAGCAGCTGCAGATGTGAGACACTATTCACACTGCCAGATTTCAGAGTATCGAGTCGAGTGAATTCAAGACTTTTATCTTCATTAATTATGGAAATCATATGCCTCAGATATGTCCTATCAAGTCAAGAGGCAAAGCTTTTCACTGTTCTCTAAGCAAATTTTCAATAGGACTCCCAAGAGAAGCAGGAAGGAGAAACAATACTTGAATTGCACACCGTTGGGAAAAAAGAGGGGTCTTTAACTATCAGGGATGAAAAAAACATCCTTTATGTGCAACTCTTTTTCAGAGCAATTTTGAAAAATTACAGTACAGATGTTAATTGCAATTACTGCATGTGAATTCTTATTCACACCCATTAGGAAACAAAGCTATGCAGACTTAGTCAGGGTAAAAACTCAGAAAATGCTACTATTTTGACATTTTATGATCACCTTTAACATTTTGGAAACAGTGCTTATCTCATATATAATTATTAATTTTGGTCAAGAGTTGACATCTGCCTCTGTAAAGTGAATTGAAGAATATTGGTAAAGCTAATCGAACATAAATATAAAAGAATCTTTGTGTTAATGAGCGAGCTTAATGGTGTGCTCCTACTCAGATAAACCAAAGCCAACAGAACAGAATGACACGATGGGCAAGACTATGGTACTGCAGCGTGCACTGAGGTGAAGAGTAGTCAGTATGAACAGCATGAAATTGAAACCCTTCCCTGAGGTAAAAGTTGGGTTTATCCCCGGGCTGCTTTGTCAATATACAGTAGAAACCCGCAATTTCCTATGAACAGCTTTACCATTCGGATTTCCACAAAGCAATCGGAGATAAATCTGCAGCTCTCTCCTTTTTCACCCCAATAGCTTTCTTTTCAACTGCCTGCAGCTAATAGCGTGTTTTTTAGATGAAAGGTTCATGTACTGCATGTGTTCATTATTTAAACAATGACACGCTCAAATATCCGATGGTAAAAGGCCCCAGAAGGTTTGGAGACAAATTGGCATACTCTATGCATTTCCTGGCACTATGTCTTTCAAGCCTTTGACTCACTAAAAAAATAAAAAGTTGACAGTGTTATTAAACCCAGTCAAGTGTGGGTGAGTGAATATTAAATCATTCTTATGTCCTGATTCTTTGTCACCAATCCTCATGCTGCTTCAGTAATGCTATCACGACCAAAGATGAGGTAAATTAAAAAACGCCAAGGTTTGTGTTCGACACTACAGATAGGTTAGCTTCTCTCTGTGAATCAGTGTTGATGAAACCGTTCCATGTCTCTACACATATAGAGAGAAAAACAAGAGCGAGCCAACCAGTCACAAGAGTGTCCCAGCCAATGACAGCATAATGCCAATGGTAACAGTGAGCGTGTGCAGACAGACAATCAATAACACTCTATGAGGCTTCCACAAATATCAAGGCCGAGCTCCCCGGATGATGTTCGTTATTCACTTGGGAACCTGCTGTTAGAGCTATAAACTCTGAATATGCTTATAAAGGAAGTCTAAAAAAAAGCCTAAAAAGCTACAAAAACAATCATACCTGCAGTAAAGTTGTAACTTGCTGAAAATCCCACTGCTTCCAGTTCACCATCCGTAACAAATTTTATCCACAGATATCTGCCGCTACTCCTGATGTCAGGCGGGCTGTGCTGACCGCAGTACCGTCCGAGAATCGGGGAGAAGCCAAACGGTCCATCTCGTACCTCAATGTTGTCAAATTTACATTCCCAAGAGGACTCGATTGAATAATTCTCGTCAAAGTGTAGGTCGATACACTGCCTTGGGGGAGCTGCAAGACACAATGGAAATAATTACTACCTAGCACAAAGAATGGCGTAAACTATTAGTCATGCTTTCATCGATGAACATTCAGCCTCTTTCATTATCAGCGCTCAACTCAAATTCTGGCTGTTAGTCAAGTCATCTCTAAATAACGAGAGATGTTATTTCCACATTCACTTTGGTACTACATTAATGAGGCTATGTGCACTGACACACAAAAAACATGTTTTTATATTAAAAAAAGGCTTTCTAGGCTTGCCAATCAGTCCAATGTGTATCATCACTCACTGAGGATAGCCTCAGTAGTGCTTTAGTTGAGAATAAACAGCTAGATCGCGTTGGCTTTTTTTCTTCACTACTGCTGTGTTTAAAGAGATGATTTACCTTCAAGGATGTAAACACACTCTGTGTCTGGGGGGTATTTGTTTGGGTAATTGGGAGAAGTGAAGAGCCCTCCTTCTGCTTCCTTTACCCACGTTCCACACTGACCTGCAGGCTTCACTCCAGAATTGTTTTTCACTGAAATATACACACACATACATTATGTATTTGATAGTGTTAAGCATATACATATAAATTTGAACAGAGGACATTTGGACACCAAAAAGACAAGCTGGTGATGGCTATTACCTGCTGTATCCTTCTTTGTTGCCCCACACAACCCAAGTATGAGTAGACTTGCAACAACTGTAAGGAAAGAAAGATGAATTCATATTGTTTTTGTTTGTTTTTTTTTTTTGGGGGGGGGGGGGGGGTTAAATTACAGTAGTTTTTGTCTTTGTTTTGTTTGTTTTTTTTTTCATTTAGGTTGGAACAAAGGTATTAATACTGTATTTATGTACGTAATGTAACAATGTAACAACCTGGTCCCGACCTAAAGGAATAAAAAAACACACAATACTAATAATAATAATAATAATAATAATAATAATAATAATAATAATAATAATAATAGTATAGATCACGCAACCTATAGGTCACGTAAGAACATAACCTACAGGCTACTACTAAAAGTCTCTTCCAACAAAGACTACACCTATATAAAGCCCCTTTTAGCCAAAGGCTTCAAAATTATATATTTTTTTAAACGATAGGCCCACATCACAAACTGCAACAATCTCAATATGACTATTTCCTGCCATAAATAAAACTGGAGGTTAAAAAAAACTTAAGACTGTGACCTTCACTGTGAGTTTACAGGTTGCAGGATGCAGTGCATCCGTTTTTCATCTCATATTTGTTTATCCCTACTGAATCACCATTTTGTTCCTATGTTGATTTCGATCTGTTGCTCTGATATTTACAGTCCGTCTAAACTGATTAAAAGATTATCATGCCGCTTTTGCGCTTGGGTAGGACAAACATTAAGAGCTTTTCAGCAAGTGTGCTTCAGTTGGTGAATACGGATGTCTTACCGTGATGGAAGCTGTGCCCATGTAGCATGTCTGTTCCTTTCACAAACGGCTTTAGGCTCAACTAATTCCATTTAGATTAGGAATACTTGAAGAGAGAAAAAAGATAGAGATGTAAGTTTCTGAGTATTCACGCAGAGATATCGCTCATGTTATCAAACCTTTCGGTGGTGGGTTGAAAAAAAAAGCGAAATTTTACTCCTTATTAAAATCTCAGAGAGAAAAAAAATCCTTCCAGATGTGTCACAACAACTACTAATCACCAGTTTCATATAAAACCAAAAACAGTTCCAAACACTCGCCCGATTTCCATCCAAACGTTTCTAGTACCCCTTGGCGCGTTTGATGCACTGAAAGGATTAATAGTCCCTTCATCAGCCCTTCTCTAATCGCTCCACCTTTGCAATCTTCTTTTAGAAAATATCACGGGCAACCTTGTTTTGTCCGCTTTGGTCCCTTTATCAAGAGAGATGATCCTTCAAGAGCACGTAAAACCACGCAACACTCATCTCTGCGGCGTTTTCTGTACTCTTTTGCGCTGCGTAAAAATCTTCTGGAAAACAAGAGGTTGCCAAACAGATACAAAAAATAATAATAATTAATCGATTTTTTGTTTGGCTTTCATTTGTCGCCCCGTGTTTCCCCAAAAAAGCTGTCAGTGTTGTTCTCACTGAGTCCCTCTGCCTGGGTTTCTGTCAACTGCCTGAGTCCCCGCAGCCGGCAGGAGCTAATGTAAGATCTTCTTCCTCCTCCCGTTCATTCACCACCGACTACGGCCGTCCAATGCGCCACAGTCCTCACGTACTTTTGACGCACGCATCGAAAAGTTCTCCAGGACACGACTTCATCCACACACACACGACACGCGCACGTGTTTGAACAATAAAGCACGCGCTGCAGAATTCATTTTCACCAGATCCATCGCGCAACATAAAAAGGGAAAGGTAAGCAGAAAAGGCAAGGGGATTGGAAATGAAATAAACAGTCGAGGAACGCGAAGGAGCGAGGTTAAACAAACGGAAAATGCACTGTTAAGCATAAAGGAATCTCAAGTCATATTTCAATGGTCGAAAAAAAATGCACATCGCCTTCTTTTATTAGATTAAGAATCCACCCATTTGTTTCTGCTGTTTGGGAGCTATCCTAAAATGCATAAGTAGGCTAACGTAGTTTATATAGAACAACAACACACCTGTCATCCACAAACAAGTGACCAAGGATGGCATCTTTAGAAATTCTGCACTTCATGTTTCCAGTTTCTACAGAAATTGGAGCGATAAGAGAACACAGAGAAAACTCCACTTTTCTTTCTTTTTTTCTAAAACCGTGCCAGCGACTTTCCTGTAGTGTGAGTGTCAGGATGCATCTGCACTCTTCTACTGACTGTGTAGTCACTCTCACACCTGATGACAAAGCTGATCAGAGGGTGCCCAGGGACAACTCAGGGGCTCAGGCTCCCAAAATAGTTTTTGGCTCCCATCAGACAATATCCATCTTCAGATACTCCTACTGCAGTGGCAAACTTGGACTCGGTTTCTCTGTGCATTTGTTATTGTTACTGGTTTGCATTTGCCCCGCAACTGCGATCAGCTTCAACAGAACTGTTCGCGATAGTGGACGTTTATGTCTCATCTTTTGCAGCATGACATACTCCTGTACAACTTTGTTTCCTGTCCTGTCTCCCTCTTCCTCTGTGTGTCTTTCTAGGTCACAAACCCACCTGAGATTTGTAAGATAAAGATTCACTATCGCCTCCAATGTCCTTCTCTTAATTACATCCTGTTCCAGAGATTGGCTTGTTACTCTTCACTCTAAAACTGTTTGGTTTTATAGCAGGTAATGTAGACTCTGAAGGTGCCACGCTGACTTCAAGAATACATGTGGGAGTGGAAAATCTCACAACTCTTTTCAACTAATAGGCTCCCGCTAATCTGTTATAGAGTGATTTAATGGACTTGGGATTTGGACCCCCACACACAAACCAAAGCTTAGCCACTCACTTTCTTGCTACTGTACAAAAAACTCCCATGAAACTTGTAACCCGCTGCACAGTGTAGCTCGCTCTGCTCCCTCCAAAATCTCACAAACACACAAAAATGCTGAAAATTTTTTTAAAATGTCAATTTCTCAGCAAAGGCAAAGCTTATTATAGATCTTCGACTCTGAAGGGATGTCAATAATATCATACAATGCAGTGCCCAAAGCTTGTTATTGATCAGCAGTGATGCTGTGCCATCTGACAACTTCATAAACACAACGGCACACATTTCTGATGGGTAAACTCGGAGATAAAGCAGCAGAGCTATAAGGGTATTATTCAAATGAGGCTTATCTAGCCTACTGTATGCAAGAGTAGCCTTAGCGAATTTAACAGCAGCCTCCAGTTTAGCTACATAAACCGCCTCTCTGACTCAGTAGCACAGAGGCAGTCGGAGAATATCAGAGAAATAATTCATTCAACAGCAGTCTCAAAGTCTGCCATTTTTAATTAAGGAAGTCTATCATTTGGCTGAAGATAAGTATTGCGCTGTGTCGGCTTTACCTACATTTGTAATTGTAATCAGTTTGGGGAATTGGGAACATTCAGGTCTGGAACTATACATTTTACTAACAGCACGCACATAACTAAACAGCCAGTTCAATGAAGTCGTTCATTACACATGTTCTGCTCTGTTTGCTGTTTCATCTTCAGTTAAATTTCACGATTGCTCATTGTTTAGAGACAATTTAACTCCTACAGTCTGTGCCCTCAACCCCCCAAAAACAAAACAAAAAACCCCCATCAAGGCTCATGAGTTTCATTTAAAACATGCAAAAATGCACTCACAACAAGTATATTACTCTGCTGCATACGCAAAACAGAGAGTAATTCACGATTGCTTCCTGTTCATTTGGCTCAGACCTCATGTGCAAATTAGGCATTCACCTTCTACTTACTGTCATTATAATGACACTGCCAGCACACTTTCTTTTTGTCATTCTAACAGGGGACAGTGCTAAAGCGGATAAACACTTAGGCTAATGCCTCTTGCCCACTGGGACTCAAATTAACCTTATTAGTGATGCATTGAGCAGCGTGTTGGCTTAAAAAAAAACACAATTTATTTGTCATTTGAGGCGCCTTGTAGTTCATTAAGCAAGACCCAGTTACAAGAAAGGGTTGCTCCGTCCACGGGCAAATTTTGAGCTGCTCTTTATGCTACATTAGCTGTCTGGGTCTCTGGCGATAGGCTGCCTTTATCCTGGCCCTGCACCTGGAGCTAGTAAGAAAGTAATTCCATGAGATGATAACCCATAAACTACTCGTGGTTTTATGTTTGTTGGCAATACAGCATGTCATTTTAGGTCCTGGGCTCTTCGTCAAAAAAAAAAGAAAAAGAGCATCTTGAGTTATGCAAACAAGGTGCGGTGTGAAAAATCAGATTGAAGGCAAATTCTATTTGACATACAACACAAACAAAACGGGAGAAACAAATAACCCTCACCACTTTTGCAGTTATGCAGAAGATAAATTCTAATATAGAGGAGATTTAAAGTTATCCTTTAAATAAGTTTCATTAACTGTTAATCTGATGCCGATTTTCTGGATTAACCAATGAATCATTTTGTCTTTAACAGTCAGTAAGTAAGGTTTCAAGGAATCTTTGTTTTTTCATGTTGCTGAATTTGTAAAGAAATAAGACTTTTTTTTTGTTTTTCTGCACTTTTTATCTGTTTATCAGCAAACTGACTTCATATCGTTTTACCCAAATTTGAGTTGTCAAACAGGTCGGAGAAGTCAGACATTAATTAATCATAACATTCAACGACTAAGACAAATTTTTCTATTCAGGAATGGGAGTAAATAACTGTAATTTGGCATCTTAATCAAAAAATAATGACGTGCTTTGCAATTTTTTTCTGCTCTTTTGTAAAACAGTAAATTTGAAAATTCATGGATAACAACAATAACTACACTTTAGCATTAAAGATATCATTTTGGTCAAAGAGCTTGTTCATACTGGTGCACTAACTATTACAGAAAAGTTTGGAAATTACCAAAAGTGTTTTATGAAGGTAACATAAATTTTACCAAATAAAAATACCTGACAGTCTTAGAGGTGACGAGTCGATGCCAAGGCTGTAATCCATTCAACAAAGCTGTAAAATTGAGTGCAATTGATGCCTGACTTTGTTCTTATTTTGCTTCACAGCGCATACATGATGCTGTTTATAGAACATTCGAGGTCAAACATGATTTGTTACCTGGGCACACTATTAGATTTAAAGATGGATGCAACGTGAGCTACCTGCCCTTGGGGTGAATATTTTAAAATATAAGGACACCGGACACAATATTGTGCAGCGCACAGGCATGACATAGACTCCTAGCATCACTCTCAGGATACGTATTTGGGGGTTAACAGCGTCAGTAGGACAGGAAATAAAAACCCCACCTACGATGACTACAACTCATCCACTGATTGTGTTAATTGATAACTTCTAATGACCTTCAATCATATTTTGCATGATGAACTCCAAACATTTGGTTCCAGCGAACCATAATGTGAGAAACTTTAAACACTCAGCACTAATTTCCCTCCGAACTGCTCCACATTCATCTCTCTCAGTCCCTTCAATGTTTCTCCTCATCTGTCAATCACTGTAGCTTTATCCATCCAGCAATTAATCTCAGCCCAAGAGGGGCAGCTGTACTGTCTATGAACCTAAATGTCTGCTGAATCGCTACGCCTGGTCTGCAGATTTCTGCTCTAGTTACAGGATTGAGAGGAATTACATCTGCGTGTAGTCCTTTATTTTAACCACTTTTCAGCAAATTCTTTCTCAGTGTTTCCTCCACATGCCTTTCATTCCTTCATTCTTCCCATACACTCAAGCATGAAGCAAGCAATGGCTTGCTGTTTCACAGCATTTGCACTAACATATCCTCTGCAATCTGTTCTGTGGATGAAGTCCCGAGCCCCTTTGTTTAACCGACTGTGTAATTCGTCATTTGACCTCATTAGCCACGTTGAGGGGGGGGTGCCACCGACACTGTGGACTGGCACTCTGCGGGTAATAACACCAGCGCAGGAGTAAGAGTCACCAATGTCATACCACCGCCTAAAAAGGGGGTTATTTTAGATTGATATACTGTATGGGGAATGATGCAAGAATCACAGCTTACATGTATTTTGAAAGGTAAGGGAGATGTCATTAGCTAATAATATTATTTTTGAGGAAATATGCTATATTTAAAAGATAAAATTTTTTATATCCACATGACATCAAAATATTTTGTCATGCAAAAAAAGAGTAAGATATTAAACAAAACACTTAATACTTATAATTGGATGAAAATTTGTTTCTGTATTTACTGAAGAGACGCAACAATCGACCAGCTAGGGACCATTTTCCCGCCCTCACCGGTGACTGACTGGGTCAGTCTGACATACAGTAGCATTTTCTCGTGCACAGGGTCTATTTAGTGACGCTAATCTTTAAATTATGAAGTTGTAAATCATAAGGTCCACATGATACAGAATCAGTGATCACTTGCTGTAAAATAAAAGATGCATTTTTTCCTTAAAAAATAACAAATTGTAAGTAGTTAGTCTGCAAATTTTATGAAAAGAAACTGCAAAACTGAAGTGTCGTGTCAGCTGAAATAACATGTTGAGGTCATTCAGGTTATAACTGTTATAAATATGTATTTTGGTTTTTAATTTTCACTTCCTCACCAACTGTGGAAGTGTAAAAATGTTATCCGCCCTC